GCACCTGTCGGCGGAGACAAAGGCGCGCCGCGGCCCGGAAGCTCCCCGCGCCCCTCTTTCCCGCCCCGAGCGGCTGGCCGAGTGCTCGTCGCGCACAGCTCCAAAGCTGTCAGCGTTTCCCTTAGGCTCTCCGGTACCAGTGACAGGTCGGGAAAGCAGGTCAGGGCCTTCTTTTTTTTTGTTTCTTGATGGTTCCAACGCAAACTCTAATAGTGATTTTTTTTTTTTTTTACACTTTCCGGATGACTGTTCAGACGGAATATTTTTATCAATGGGACTTGTATTTATAGTATACGCCAGATATTTAAATTTCTTACTTGCAACACCACAAAGAGTCGAGGTTTTTAAGCTGTTTATTTCTGGTCTTTAACATTTTTCCATCTCTTGAAGTTTTTTTTTTACTGAAAGAGAAGCATAGTTTTGTTCTTACAGTGTAGATACTGGAGACTTAAAAGGGAAGATTGGCAAAAATGTGAAAGAAATCCTGAAAAACAAGTGACAAGTACACAATATAGTAGAAATAGAAATAATAACTACAAAAACATATGTTCGAGTAAAACATTTTTGTTAACTTATTTTAAACTAGGTCTCAAAATGATTTTAGATGCTCCCCCCATTTAGAAGTGCACTCTTTCCCAAATATCAGTCAGAAGCAAACTGAACTCAATACAAATCTAAGAGTAGTATAATTTTTGCTTTATTAGTTGTTAACAGATTGCCCATATTTTAAAATTAGAAGGAAGATTGGAAAGTATCCTTTGAAGAAGTGTTTCAAATTAAAACAGTAACAAATATGTGTGTGGTTAAACTAAAGGGCCTTGACCACATTCTTTGGCTTTGGGAGTGTCCAGAATACCTCAGATATTAATATTCTACCCAAATTCCCCAAATTAGAAAATTTTGGGATATCTGTATGTTAGACAATTACCAAGCCATCAAACATCATTGGAAGAATGTTGACTTGGAAGAATCTTCCCTGAGTTAAAACACAGGCTGTAAAATAATAATATGGTTTGCTAAAGCTTTTTTTTTTTTTAAAGGCATAGAATAAATACTGAAAGCTGTGAAAGCCAATGTTAAGGGTGATTTTTCTCTGGGAAGTAGGATTATAAGTGATTTTTTTCCCTTTGAATCATGTTTTCCACATTTTTGTTTTAGGCATGTATTACAGTATTAAGTATCACTAGAAGTACAGGAAATTTATTTACCATCAAAATGTACCAGTTGAGCCCTAGTCATTTTGCTCAGTGGTTAGAGCATCAGCCCTCAGACTGAAGGGTCCCAGGTTTAATTCCGGCCAAGAGTACATACCTCAGTCGCAGACTAGATCCCCAGCCTTGTGTGAGGGACAACCAACAATGTGAGTCCCACATTGATGTTTCTCACACACTCTTTTTCTCTCCCCCTCCTCCTCCCCCTCTCCCTTCCACTCTCTGAAAAGCAATGAAAAAAATATCCTCAGTGAGGATAAAAAATATATATATACACACACATATATACACATACACACATACATACACATATTTATACACACGTGCATACACCAGTTGGCTATACTGAGTAAATATTTTCCCAGTTACAAGTTACAGAGTTATTCTTTACTGTAATTAATTATTGGTTGTGAGACTTTTGAACATGTGACCATAATGAATACCATTTTATTTATTTTTTATTTTTTTATAATATATCTTTATTGATTTCAGAGAGAGGAAAGGAGAGAGAGAGAGAGAGACAGAAACATCAATGATGAGAGAGTCATTGATCGAGCCCACAACCCGGGCATGTGCCCTGACTGGGAATCGAACCCTGATCTCCTGGATCCCAGGTCGACACTCAACCGCTGAGCCATGCCTGGCCGGGCTGAATACCATTTTAAAACTTGTAATTCAGCTTTGGAATCTACTACTTTCCTCTTCATGGAAAATAATTGCTGAAGGGATGCTCCAGGCTTTTTAAATTACACGAACTTTTTAAAATGTTTCACTGACGTGCTCTTTTAATACATTTATTAAATACATAAATTGATCACCCAAACTCTACCAAATATTCTGTAAGCCAAGGCTACAAAATGAATAAAATTTTGCCCCTGTGCCAAGGGAGCATGCAATTCTAAGGTTGAAACTTAACATTTTTGTTATGTTTTGAAATTTCAAAGTGATTTCACATACATTTCACTGTCACAACAATCCAAGGGAGACAGTACACTTTACTGTTCTCATTTTAGAAATGAAGAAACATCCCAGAGGTTGTGTTCAAGCAACAGCAAACATATTTAGAGGTGGAAAAATTGGGTCTCTTGTCTGCTGAGCTCAGGTCCTGTTGCTCCTCCCACCTACTTGGCCACATTGCCTTTCTTGCCAAACTTCCAAAATACTTTTAAAATGTGTCCATTGGATAAGAAAATAATAAAAAATTATCGTTAAGTTGCATCTTTTCTTGTCTTACCAAAGTAAATTAATGATTCAAGGAATTTAGGTATTGAATAGTCTAAACTATATACATACCCCAATGATTTATATTTTTGGTCATTTGATTGTCAGTGGGTTACTTATAAAAATGATTTTTACCTCCTGCCAAAATGGTTGATGGCTTTTTTTTTTTAACCTTTCTAAACTTGTATGTGGTGTCTTCCCAATGCTGATAGGACTTTTGGAAAGAAATGTTGTGGGGAGAGGAGTTTTCCATACTCCGCTCACATGAGCCATTCTTGGTTTGTTCTAGCCTGCCAACACTTGGTGTCACATGTGAACCTTCCACATGTGTTCACTCTCCATCCCAGCTCTGTGACTGAACTCTGCTCTCATTGACTAGGGGGCATTTGGGCAGGCATGCTTCATTCCTGGAATTAACAGTCATTCCATGTGAGTAAAGGGGAACCTCAGTGAGATGTCTTTAAGCACATGAAAAGCTTTTGGTTTTAAAATGGAAGAAATGTCAGGTATTTTTAATGCCTGAGCCTGTAGCAATTAGTTTCATTGGCACAAGAAAACTGATATGCCTATTTTCTCCAGTTCTCTTATCTTTCCTTATCAGTTCTACTTGAATGTTTTCTATCTTTCGTACTCATTTTTACTTCTTCTGACCCTTCTTTTTTATTTCCCCTTTCTCTGTCTTGTTCTTCTCTTTCAGTTTTGAATATATTAACACTGAATCAGCACTTTTAAAGCCCTGCCTTCTCCCACTGTCTTCACTTGGCCTTCAGACATAATGAGGAGACTGGCTTTTCGAGGCGCTGGTTGTGCTCTGGTAAAGCTGGTAAATTACTGATCATCTACACCCTTTCCCTTTTCTGTCCTTCCTTGCCTTTTCCCTTACACCTTTCTTAAATTTTGTTATCCTTTCCGTAAAGAGCCCCTCCTCATGTTTATCAAATGCACTTGTGTCCTTGTCATAGATTAGTTTACAAAGAAAGAATTGGTACTTAGTTTCTTCATCTTTATGACTGAGGACAGTTTATCAGCCTTTTATAAAACAAACAAAAATCAACAAAACTTGGCTATCCTTGGCTAAGCCCTTTGAGCTTTTTAGCCAATTGTAGCCAATTGCAGACTAATGTACTGTGTACCAAACCAGTCTAGAAGAGGAAGAAACGTCCTGATGGTGGGTTCTGTTTTCAGATACCATGTGGACTGTTGAAGGAAGAGATAGGAGACTCCTCGTTTCTTAATTGCTTACCATGATCGTTTATTTTGTTGGTTTGTTTAGTTCCTGCTTTCATTTCCTGAAGAGCCCCAATTTTTCTCTCCATACTACTGGCAACCGATTGTTTCAGCTGCAGCGTCTTAGTTTCCTGAAATTGAATGTTGATGAATGAAACTTGGATCAGGTTTTTTTGTTGTTGCTGTTGTTTGTTTTTGTTTTTTTAGCCTTAGAGAAAGACCTTTGAAATTACAACATACTATTTGATACTGTTGTTAAATTGTATAAGCATTGTAGGACCTTCTCAGTAGATGTAGCAGATTATTTTAGTGATTACATATCTTGTGTTATAGTCAAATATATATGTGATTTGTAAAGTGTTAAAATTACTTAGCAGCCTGCCTGAAACTGAGGGCACATTTACGTGTTTCTGAAAGGCCAAGTAGGACCTAAGTCCTCACCTCTGAGATGCTCTTCCAAATCATCTACTGAAACTTAGAGCTATGATTTCAAACATTGAGGGAATTTTACCTCATATAACTGAAAAGGAGGTTAGTCTGGATTGACAGAAAAGTTTGAAAGAATGGCTTTGCCACTTTGGTATAGGTAGGGCACGTCACATTACGTGTTTTTCAGGGGTATCTCTTGTGGGTCCTTTAATGAATGGGGAAGAAAACCATTCTCTGTGTTAATTTTAGGGTATATCTAAAATGCTAGAAGGTTAATTTTCCTCTGTCCCCCTAACTTTTTGCACTACTCATTTGCCTCAGGCACAGCTTGCTATTCTTTTTCACCTCATGGCCCGCCTGGAAAATTATTGTAATTGTAGCACACACTGGGGGAAACAGATAAGGCTTCTGTCCCAAAGGCCTGCATGGCTGCCTCAGGGGCCAAGGGATCAACACCTGCAGCACACTGTTGTACCACTGCACTGGGGTTTCAATTCCAGTCCAGGGTACTTTTGGCGCCAGACTGTTTTGAGTCATTCAAAATTGGTGATACACAAATGAGTCTACTTTTGCTGAATTTGTACCATCCAAGTTGAAAATGTAGCATTCTGATAAATGAAGGGACTAAAGCAACAAGGTCTAGGACTTCCATTGAAAAATCTTCCAGTTAGTCAAGCTTCTTGGCCACAGTTAAAATATCTTCCTGAGTCAACCAAAAGCTTGATATCAAGTGGCCAGCTGAGGGCTTGGTGGCAGAGTTTAAATTTAAATATAAGAACATGGCTAATTATTTTTTATAGAAGAAGTTGGATTCCATGGGTTCCAAAAGAAGAAGAGCGACCTCCCCTTCCAGTAGTGTCAGCGGGGACTTTGATGACGGGCACCATTCTGTGTCTACACCAGGCCCAAGCAGGAAAAGGAGGAGACTTTCCAATCTTCCAACTGTAGATCCTGTGAGTAATGTGGATCACACAGTTTCTGCCTGCTTTTCGTACGATCCCCTATCCTTTTCATGATAAACAGTTAAGATGCAAGGCCTCTCCATTTCTTTTCTCTGGCTTGATATTCTTAACCTTTCTTTTATGAAAAAAAATACAGGGTGTCCCCCCCAAAATGTATACACACACTTTGAATAATTATAAAGTCAGTGTTTATTAAAATACATTTCATTTTCAAAATTGAGCTATTAGCTGTTAAAATATGTATACACTGTTTGGGACACCCTGTATTTATTTAGCCATAAGTCTTACAGTAATAGTATACTTTAATATTATGAAATAATGAAGAATATCAGTATGTGCCATTGTGTGGTCACTCAAATAACTGTGTGCTTGTCTTTACCAAGTACTGTTCTGTTGATTGGGATACAGCCATGTGTAAGACAAGCCAATTTTTCACATGGAGCTTAGATTCTAGTATGGGGTAAGCAAAATGTTAACAGGTGAACAAATAAATAATAAAGTACTGTCAGTTGGTGATAAGTGCTAAGAAGAAAAGTCTGGGTGATTCAGGCTGTTGTGGCCCAAACCTTCAGGTTCTCTGTGATGAGAAGGCACCAGCCCTGCAGAGCGCTGGGGAAGAATGTTCCACATAGGGGCAGGGGCAGGAATGAATTTGGTGTGTTAGGATTATAGAGAGATGGTTAAGAGGGAGGAGACTGTCAGAGTCTGCCCAGCCAGGGTATGTTGTTACCCTGTGTACTCTGTGGGCAGCGGTAGGGGTTCAGATTTTATTCTCTGAGTAGTAAGAAGCCCCTGTATTGGATGATTTTAAGCAAAAGAACTATATGAACTAACTTAGTTCAAAAGAAAAAAAAATCACCAGTAACATAAATCTGATGAAAGATACCATTAACTGATACCATTTATCAGTTAAATTATTTTAAATAAAGAGAGATACTGTCAGCATATTTCAGACTTGGGTTCCCAGATGGTAATTTGGGGGTTCGCCCTTTTTCTTCTCTACTTGCCTTTAATGGGTATTTTCTTATTAAGGATAATCCATATATCTGCACTGACTTTCCGCTCACTTTTCTTGTCCTTTTTTTCTCTTTTCCTATGTGTAGATTGCTGTGTGCCATGAGCTCTACAATACCATCCGGGACTATAAGGATGAACAGGGCAGGCTTCTCTGTGAGCTCTTCATTAGGGCACCGAAGCGAAGGTGAGTTGGAAGGTGAGTGGGAGGAATTTGGTCTTGGGTCAGTGTTTAAAGTATTTGGTAATTGATTTTCTTTTGAAAGGAATGGTTTAAATGATACCGAAGTTGGATTTGTTTTACCTGTCAAGATGTAGTGAAACATATTCAAAATTTTTCTTAAATCGTGATAAAAAAATACACAACATAAAATTTACTGTCTTAACCATTTTAAGAATACATCTCAATAAGTGTGAAGTATATTCACATTGTTGTACATACAGCAACTCTAGGACTTTTACATATTGCACAGTTAAAACTGTACCCATTAAACAGCTTCTCATTTCTCCCTTTCCCCTCAACCCCTGGAAAGCACCATTGCACTGTGTGTTTCTATGAATTTGACTTCTTTAGATTCCTATTTATCCTTTTTTTTTTAAAATATATTTTTATTGATTTCAGGGAGAGGGGGAGAGACAGAGAAACATCAATGATGAGAGTCATTGATCGGCTGCCTCCTGCACGCCCCCTACTGGGGATCAAGCCCAAAACCCAACTATGTGCCCTGACTAGGAATCGAACTGCGATCTCCAGGATCATAGGCTGATGCTCAACCACTGAGTCATGCCAGTTGGGCCCTATTTGTCTTTTGTGACTGGCTTATTTCACTTAGCATATTGTCCTCAAGATTCATTCATGTAGCATGTGAGAGGCTTGCCTTCCTTTTTAAGGCTGAATAATATTCCTTTGTATGAGTATACCTTATTTGGTTTATCCATTCATCCATTGATAAAGACTTGAGTTGCTTCCACCTCTTGACTCTTGTGAATAATGTGCAGTGAACATGGGAGTGCAAATACCTTTTTGAGATGCTGTTTTCAGTTCTTTGGGATATACTGTATATTCAGAATTAGGATTGCAAGATCTATAGTAATTGTTTTTAATTTTTTGAGGAATCACCATACTGTTTTCCATAATTGCTGCATCATTTTCCTTTCCCACCAACAGTCTACAAGGGTTCCAGTTTTTCCACATCTTTGCTACACTTGCAATTTTATAGTAAGTTTGGAAATCATAAAGTGTGATTCCTCTGTGATGGTTAATTTATGAGTCAACTTGACAGTCTTCCAACTTTGTTATTTTTGAAGGTAGTTTTGTCTATTTGGGGCTCTTTGAAATTCCATATAAATTTCAGGATTGATTTTTCTGTATCTGCAAAAAACTTGGGATTTTGATAGGGATTGTGTTAAATCTGTAGATTGCTTTGGATGGTATTGGTGTTTTAACAAGGTTAAGTTTTCCAATTCAAGAACATGAGATATCTTTCCATTTATTGGTTTGTTCTTTAATTTCTTACAGAAATGTATAGTTTTCAGTGTGTAAGTCACCTACTTGGTTAGGTTTATTCCTGAGTATTTTGTTCTTTTTGATGCTATTATAAATGGAATTATTTCTTAATTTCTTTTTTTGGATTGTTTATTGTTAGTATATAGAAATGCAACTGATTTTTTTGTATCTTGATTTTGTATACTGCAACTTTGCTGAATTTGCTTATTAGTTCTAACGTTTTTTGTGTGTGTGTAATCTTTAGAATTTTCTCCATATAAGATCCTATCACCTGTGAACAGAGATAATCTGTCCAGATGGGTGGATGCCTTTTATGTCTTTGTGTCGCCTAATTGCTCTCACCAGGACTTCCAGTGTTATGTTAAAAAGGAGTGGCAAGAGCCAGCCTCCTAGTCTTGTTCCTGATCTTAGAGGAAAAGTTTTCAGTTATTCACCATTTTGAGTATGATACTAGTTGTGGGTTTTCAAATATGGCTTTTATTATGTTGAGGGAGTTTCCATACCTAATACCTAATTTTTTGAGAGTTTTTATCTTGTGGCAGCAGCTTCTTCATCAGGAGATGCAGCCTCTCTGGTAATGTTTATATTTTTCAGTCCAAGCCTATTCCTGGATCTGTGTAACCACCCTTACTTGCAGTAAATGGCTTGATGTCATTTGTTTCAGGGGATCCCTTGCTGAACTCTTTGTATAGGCTCAATGCCTTCTGACATAACACATTGCCATCAATTGGAACATATTTTCTGTTCATGTCTTCCACCCACAAATTTAATGCCTTTTCCATCTTAACTAAGCACTTATCATGTACTGTGGCTATAACTTTTGCAGTTTGAGGTGTTACAGTGAAACCAGCATGAATTTCTTTTTCAAACTTCTTCACAACATCATGGATAGAAGATTCATTCTTATCAATCAGTCTTCACAACCTCAGCATACGATTTTTTTTTTCCTTATTAAGTTGAGGACTTTCATCTTTTCACTTAAAGGAAGCACTTTACAGCTAGCTTCTCTTTGGCATACCTGAATTTCCAGAATCACTGCTCTTGCACTTTGAGGCCATTATTTGAACAGAAGCACTGCAGTATTGCCACAGTCGACCTAATGATAGCTTTACTGGGTACTAAGTGGCCCACAGGCAGGTAGCAGATACAGTGTGGATTCTTTGGACAAAGGGGTGATCCACATCCTGGTCAGGATGGTGCAGGGTAGCATGAATAGCATGCAACTTAAAACTTATGAATTGATTTCTGGAATTTTCCATTTAACATTTTTGGACCACGTTTACTGTAACTGAAATCATGGAAAACAAAGCTGCAAATGAAGAGGGACTACTGTACATTCATTCCCTTTTTGGATTCTCAGTTGTCTACAGATAAATCCCTAAGCCTGAGAGGCTGCAGAAGTAAATGGTATTTAAAAGCTAAACCTCAGCACAGAGCAGTGGACTATGACCCATCAAGCCCAGGTAGAGAGAGCCATCTTGGATATCAAGTTAACAAAGCCCTAATGCTCACTCTAAGAAAGTCCCTTTGCACCACTAACACATTGATATTAGGCCTGGATGAGTCTTCATTGGGTACTCACAGATACCTTAATGTTCTTATACTTTCTCTGAGTAGCAGATTGAGTACTCCTTTTATCCCCTAATACTTAATTTTATAGTTCTAGCACCTTGGTCTTGGTTTTTAAATACTATTTACCATTACCCTAGCCTGTTTGGCTCAGTGGTTAGAGTGTCAGCCGAGGGACTGAAGGGTCCCAGGTTCCATTCTGGCCAAGGGTACTTACCTCGGTTGCAGGCTCTTTCCTTGGTCCTGATTGGGGCGCGTGCAGGAGACAACCAGTTGATGTGTCTCTCTCACATTGATGTTTCTCCCCCCCTCCCACTCTCTGAAAAGCAATGGAAAAAATATCCTCTAGTGAGGATAAATAAATGAATACTATTTACCATTAAAAGAAAATATAGTTCTTTGGGGGAAATTTCTGATTTCAAGGGCAGGAAATAAGAGATGAGCTTGTAAGATCTTATGGTACCAGAAAATGAGCAGGTTCTCAAAGGGTGATGGTAACATGTCAAAAGGCCAAAGAAAATAGAAGGCATCTTGAAAGGACTCCTGGCTGAACCCAGAGCAGTTTAAGCATAAAAATCATTATAATAATAGTTTTTAACCCACTGAGTAAAACAGGAATATATTTTGATATAAATAAATTGGTGAGGAATGGGCTTTTACATAGTCTGGAGGTGTCTATCCATAATGTACAAGGAGAAAAAGAGTAAGGTGGTCAGTTGAGAAGCTGGCAGACACCACAATAGTGAAGTGATCAAAAGTAGCCTCGTCTGAGTAATGAGATGTTGAAGTCATGTGCCACCTGACAGGATACAGTAAGACAAATACACTGTCATTTCTGTCATAGTCCTGCCAAAGAAACATAATATTCACTTACCAGGAAAACAGGCAAACCCAAATTGAGGGACGACATTTTACAACATAACTGGCCTGGTAATCTTCAAACGTATCAAGATCATGAAAGTCAAGGAAAGACTGAGGAATTGTTTCAGGGTGAAGGAAACTAAAGAAGTATAAGTAAATGCAACATGTGATTCTAGAGTTGATCCTTTTGTTACAAAGGGCAATTTTGGAACTGAGCAAAATATGAGTGGGGTTTGAGGATTAAATGGTGGTACTATATCAGTTAATTTCCTGATATTGATGGTTGAACTGTGATCCTTGTTTGTAGGAAATATACATTAAACTACTCAGCGGTTATAGGACATGTCAGCAGCTTACATTCAAATGGTTCAGAAAAAAGCATTCTTTGTACTATTCTGCAACTTTTATGTCATAATAAAAAGTTTTTAGGTGTTAAATATACTTAACATGGCTATAACATGTCAGCCAAGGTCCCAAGACAGATTAAAAGTAATCTTATCTTACAGCTCTAGAATGAAGTTAACTACCTACCCCCAAGGGAGAATTGAGAAAAATAGCCACATAGATCATATTTTAGACAGCTTGCTTATCTCATGGAACTTAGTTTGAAAAAAAGCCAGGAAGGATAAAAGTAAACATCCATAAACCCCAAACCCAACTGAAGAAATTATCATTGTAACTACATTGGAAGTTTTCTGTATGTCACTCGCTGTTTCCCCTCCAATATATAATCACTATCCTGAATTTTGTGTTTATCATTCCCAAGGTGTTTTATTTTTTTAATTGTTTGGTCATGCTTGGATACATCTGATGTCCCTTTATCTTTGGTGAGCTGCTTGTGCCAAGGCCCTCAGATTCCTCCTTTGTAACTTTAGTAATGATATTAGAACAGTATAGTTCTAATCTACTAGGCACTTGATAGTACTGGGCAGAAAAAGTTGTTTGGTCACAGTTGATAAAGAGCTTTGAGTATCTGTTTTCAGCCACTATTAAACACCATGAAGTATAAATCATTTCTATTTGCAGAAGATACAATTGACATGGTTTTAGTGTTGGTGCCCTAAATCTTAAATATTTAGCATATAAAAGACCATCACATAGGGTAATTTAGGTTTTTATATCACTAACACATATTTTGAAAAGGGCGTGCATATGCATCTTGCTTTCGTTACTCACTTTTAGTTCTAGTAATGGCAGTAAGTCTGGTATGTTCTATCACTTGAAATATTGACATTACCACAGATATTTTGAAATATAACTCTTTATAGGCTTTGGATTAATACCTTTTAAAAAAACCATTAAATTATAACAGAAATCAACCAGACTATTATGAAGTGGTTTCTCAGCCTATTGACTTGATGAAAATCCAACAGAAATTAAAAATGGAAGAGTATGATGATGTTAATCTGCTGACTGCTGACTTCCAGCTGCTTTTTAACAATGCAAAGGCCTATTATAAGGTAAGAAAGCATCAAATTTGGAAGGTACCCAATTTGATCAATACCTGGCTTTTTAATATTTACCAATCTTGTAGGTGAATAGTGGTTTCTCATTTGGTGGTTTGAGTTTGCATTTTTATTTTTAAAGAGACTGAACTTCCATTCATATGATTATGAACTACTCTTATTCTGTGTCTGCTCGGATCTTTTGTCTATTTTGGGGGAGGGGGTTGTCATTTGTATGTTTCTAGAAATTTTTGAACTAGGTACTAATCTTTTGTTGTTATATGTGTTACAAATATCTTCCTCTGTGTGTCTGTTTTTTTCACTCTTTTTATGGTTCTTTTGATGAGAAGTTTTTTATTTTAATATACTCTAATGCACAAATCTTTAACTTTGTGGTTTATCCTTTGTCTTGTTTCAGAAACTCCTCTTGCCCAAAGTTTATAAAAACATTCTTCTTTTATATTTTCTTCTGAAGGTTTAATAGTTTTATCATTTACATCTAAGCCTTAAAAGCAGCTGGGATTGATTTTTGTGTATCCTGTGAGGTAGAGATACTGTTTTCCTACAGGAATAAGCAGCACCTTAAAATGGCCGTCCCCTCCGCATTTGTCTGTAATGTCATTGCTGTCATTATTTCCATGTGCTCATGGCTCTCTTTCTGACTTTTTATTTCTGTTCCTTTGGTTCTGGCCAGTTTATTGCTGGGCTGTTCTATTCCTGCCTTAATTATTATGGCTTTATAACTCTTTATCTGTTCAGGAAAGCATGTTAGCTATTCTTGCCCTTTTCTTAGTCATTCTTGGCCTTTCCTTATATATTTTAGTATTAGTGTCTTAAGTCAACAGTTCTTACTGGAATTGTGTTGACTCTCCATAGATCTTATTTTGGAGAATTGACATAATTACAATATTGATTATTCCAGTCTATGAATTTGGTGTGTCTTCATTTAAGTCTTCTTTAATTTATTTTAGCAAAGCTTTAAGTGTTCTTTTATAGAGATTCTGCAAAAATGTTGTTAGATTTATTAAAACTGTGTGTGTACATACATATTTCCTTTATTTGAGTTATAATTTACACACTTTTAAAGTATAGAATTCAGGGGTTTTGGTATACTTACAAAGTTGTGGAGCTATTGCCACTATCTAACCCAGAATATTTTCATTATCCCCAAAAGAAGAACATACCTAACAGGCATTCTCTGTTGACCCTCCTCCCAGGGGCCTCTTGCAACTACCAATCTACTTTCTGTATGGATTTGCCTGCTTAGGACATTGCATATAAATGGAGTCATACACCATATGACCTTTGGTGACTAGCTTCTTTCTCTGAGCATAATATGTTTAAGGTTCATTGATGTCATAACATGTACAGGGTAGGGCAAAAGTAAGTTTATAGTGTGAGTACACAAAACATAAGAGTTTATTCTTGTATTATTATTTATTTATTATTGTATTATTTTCCATATAAGCAACTGTAAACCTACTTTTGCCCTGCCCTGTATTATGTGGATAATACCACATTTTGCTTATCTGTTTCCCAGTTAATGGACATTTGGATTGTTTTTACTTTTAGCTATAATGAATAGTGCTGATATAAATTTTGTGAATATAAAATTTGTACACTGGTACACCTAACTTGTTATTTATGTTGCTAAAACCTTTTACATCCTAATTGATTTACCTGTATGAACTATCTACTTCCCAAATGAGATGTTTTAAAGTTTCTCATTGTAATGATGGACTTGTCTGTTGATTTTTTCATGTACATATTTTGAAACTATTCAAACAGGAGCATATGAGTTTAAAGTTATGTTGTCCTAGTAAATGGAATTTTTTTTGCATTACATAGTAATCCTCTTTATTGTTAGTAATGTCTTCTGAGTTCTGTTTTGCCTGATATTAATATAGTTATACCAGCTTTATTTTTGTGTTTTTCCCATTCTTTACTTTCAACCTATTCATATCCTTTTAATGCTGATGATTCTCTTGTAAATAGCATATGTGTGAATTTCTATTAATCCAGTTGATAGTATTTATACTTTTTCTATATTCTTTTTTTTTTTTTGGTCAGCAAAAGGATATGTTTAATAGAATCTCCAGGTAGATGTCCCACCTGCCTGCCCTGCCCCTCTCACCCCCAATTGGAATTATCTGAGGCTTCATTTCACAAAGCAGCAGTAGATGAAATACCTTAAAAGATACAGCACAGCTGATGTTGAAGACTAAGGACCCTACTCTTACTTTAAGAGTACTGGGACCTGGGTTTCCCTGTACCATGCAATAAAGCAAGTTTTATGTACACTCCCCATATCTTTTTCTAACATTTTCTTATATAAATTTAAATATTTTACAAAAAAGGCTTTTTCCTCCAAACATATAAATTTTAGTGAAACATATATTCCCCACCTGTGAACTTGTTTCTTCACTAAAATATAAATGCTATCTGACATGAAGGGCATGCTTTGACCACTGGAGATCACTGAAGTCTGAATTGCACTGTGGAGAAGGCACTTGTGTTTTCTCTGAGGTCTCCAGCAAGTAGTTCAGTGAGCACTCAGAATTGCTGTCCTCCACAACCCAGGTGGAGGCCTCCAAGTGCCCAGTCACTGAGGCAGCTGGGGGCAAATGGTGAGTAAATTTGATTCTAAAATTACGGGAATAAAAAACAAAACCCCCCAGCATGGACCAGTTCTTAGTCTAGAATTAAACTACAAACAAAATCTGAATTGTTCATTCATGAAGATTCAACCTATTTCATTCTCTCATAAATTATAAAATACAAAGGTGGCTATATTAAAGACAAAACTCAAACAGTACTAAAAGGGGTTTGTCAATGGACAGAAGTCAGTCTCTCTGGGTGGGGCCCAGGAGAGCAGCCAGGTAGACAGGTGGCCTCTCTGTTGCTGGGCCAGAAGTGCTGTCCTGTTGGCCTTCATCTTCAGCCGCTTGGCCAGGTGGCTGTTGGTCATATCCATCTCCTCAATCTTGTCCAGTGCTGTTCGTAACTCTCGTTGTAGCTTCCTTTTTTACTGCTTTCAGTTCGTCTTCTACTTTCGGCATTCTCAGCAGCAGTTTTATATCTCAGCACCTGTCCCTCAAGCCAGCTAATACTTTGCTCCAAGGTGGTTATATCCTGTTCTGCTTTTGAAACTTAAACTTGTATTCACTAATTTGTCTATTAGCATCTCTCTGCATTTCGATGAACTGCAAGTCGGAGCCATTCTGTAGTCGGGCCAGGTCACCAGCCACCGTGCCGTCACCCCTGGAGCATTTCTGCCGCTCTTCCTCTAACTGCAGCTTCAGTTTTCTAACCTGTGATAGCAGCTCTTCCTTTTCTCCAGCAAGTTTTCGTAGCCTTACACCTAGAGGACCTTCTCCTGCAGACTCCAAGACCTGAGCAGCTTCCTGAGACACCACAGTGATGGCTCCAACCACTGGCTCATGCTTGACCTCACCATTGGGAGTGCTATCGGGGATTATAACTAAGCCATGTTTCTCAATAAGCTCATCTCTTTGTCAAAGGCCTTTAAGTTCATGCATTTTATGCTGCAACACCCTACACATTTCTGCCTTTCTAACTCCTTCGATTTTTCTTCATTTTCTCTATAAAATTCTGCCATCTGTTCCTCTTGTTCTTCAGTAACATCCTGAGGGTGTCTGCCTGGTAGATCAAATTGTTCTTCTCATTGTCTAACTGTGCATTAGAAACCATGGCTTTCTTATACTTTTCTTCCATTTCAGACAAAGACTCCCGCAATTCACTTAATGAGGTGTCTGGATCTATTAAGCTGCTGGTGTCCCCGCTTCCTCTTCTAGATGAGTTTCCACTTAGAGGGGTTGTTGCTGAGGCAGAATTTCGAGATGAAGGTCTTGTGTAATTTTCAGCATACTGTTCGTAAGATTTTTCATCCAACTCTTTTTGCTGTCGTTCCATTTCTCTCATGTGTGTATCTCTTGCTTCTGCCCGGGTGGCCCGTTTTGCTGCCAGCCTTGCCTCTGCCTCTCTGGCAATGTTACTCAGAGCTTCATCTTCTGCAGAAAATGGGTCTTTCACAGGTGTTCTTTTCCTTCCAGAACCAGGAGTCCCCATCTCGTCTTCCTGATAGTCTTTTAACTCTGAAAAATGATTTCAGTCTGTTTTCAGCCCTGCCTCTGGGCGCGGGCAGTGGCTGCGGTGTGGCCCGGGAAGGGCCGGAGAGTGGCCCGTCCGCTGGGAGCCCGCCTGCTGAAGAGCGGGGAGCAAAGGGCGAGGGATGCGGAGGGCGAACTTCATCCCAGGACCCCGGCCAGGCGGGCCGGGCTGGACGCGGCAGCTCCAGGTGCCAGTGGCCGATGAGCCTGTCACGCCTGTGTCCCCTCAGCGCCCAGGCTTAGGCAGCGAGAACCAGCCCCCAGGAGGAGCCGCAGCCCCAGCGGCTGGCGGAGGAGGCGGAGAGGCGGGGCCCTCTATACTCTTTTTTTTTTTTACCCTCTCCCAAGGGTTTTCTGTGTTTTTTTTAAGAGAGAGAGGAAGAGAGAGAGAAACATTAATCAGTTGCCTGCCCCATGCACCCCAGTTGGGCATGGAACTCAAAACCTAGGTATTTGCCCTGACCAGGAATTGAACCCATAACCTTTTGGTGTAAGGACTGATAATCCAACCAACTGAACTGAGCCATGTGGCCAGGGCTAATCTTTACTTTTTAACTGGACCGTTTCATCATTTCTTTGTAGTTTTAGTGATAACCATTAAGTTTGGATATATTCCTATTATCTATATTTCAACTTTCCCTGGCCAGGTAGCTCAACTGGTTAGAGCATCATCTTGATACACCATGATTGCGAGTTCGATCCCTGATCAGGGTACATACAAGAATCAACCAGTGAAGGCATAATAAGTGCATTAACAAATCGATGTTTCTTTCTCCTTTCTCCCTTTTTAAAAAGCAATCAATAAATAAAAAATTTTTAAGTTTTAGCTTTCTACTTACCTCACTTTGTAATTTATTTCTTATTTTTTCTATCTGCCTTCTGTTGGCTTCACTTTGGTTTTAATCTATTCTCCTTTTTTTTTTCTTTTAATATATACATATCTTTTATTGATTTCAGAGAGAGGAAGGGAGAGGGAGAGAGAGATAGAAACATCAATGATGAGAGAGTCATTGATCAAGCCCGAAACTCGGGCATGTGCCCTGACCGGGGATCAAACCCCGGTCACCTGGATCCTGGGTCGACGCTCAACCGATGAGCCACGCCTGGCCCGGCTAATCTATTCTCTTTTANGCATGTGCCCTGACCGGGGATCAAACCCCGGTCACCTGGATCCTGGGTCGACGCTCAACCGATGAGCCACGCCTGGCCCGGCTAATCTATTCTCTTTTATTCCCTCTACAGTTTGGAAGTTGTAAGATTTGTGGATAAACTTTTAGTTCCTATCCAAGAAATTTTAATATGCATAATTGA